TCTTCATCTCATCCCATGGCAGCTCCGTGATGGAATTGTTGTCCAGGTGCAGGGTGTCCAACAGCGGGCAATTCCTGATGGTGGGCACAGCCTGCAGCATGTTTTGGCTCAGGAAGAGCTTCTTCAAGGAGCCGAGGGAGATGTCTACAGCGTGGAGGTGGTTGTAACTCATGTCCAGCACTTCCAGACTGGGGGGCAGAGGTGTGAGGACCTCATCCAAGCCAGTGTCAGACAAGTTAAAGCTGCGGAGGGACAGTGGCCACTGACAGGAGGAGGACGGGGCTGACAGGAGCTTGGTCTGGGTGAGGGTTGGCTACCGGAGCGTGCGAGGGACAGTGGCCACTGACAGGAGGAGGACGGGTCTGCCATGAGCTTGTTCTGGCTGAGGCTGAGATACTGGAGCTCCCGCAGCAGCTGCACGCTCTCACACACGCTGTGGTACGATGTCAGGTTGTTGTGCTGCAGACTCAGCGCCCGGAGCTGAGGGAAAGCCCCACTGCAGAAGGCGGACATCAGGCTCTCATCACCAAGGCTGTTCTGTGCCGTGTCCAGGGAGCGCAGGGCTGTGAAGAGCCTCCCGACGGCACAGGGCAGGCTGGCGAGGCGGGAGGCAGTGATGGACAGCTCCTGCAGAGCCCCGAGGAAGCTGCTCAGACTCGAGAAGTCCTGCTCGCGGCCCAAAAAAATTGTGGAAGCGCAGGGACAATATGGGCAAGTCCTGGCCAGCCATTCTGTCCCAGTTCCCTCTCCCCTCAAAAACACAGTTGTCAAACACCAGCTCCTGGACATGGGTGTAGGAGAAGAACTTTAGGACTTGCGCAAGGAGTATCTCAGGTACCAGGAGATCACCAAAGATGACTTTCCTGAACACCAGGGAGCCCAGCATTTCAATGACAGAGGGGTCTGGGTCACTGATGGGGAAGGCTATGTATTTCTGAAGGTCTCCCCCCCGAAACTCCACAACAGGGGCTGGGAGGCACTGGATGATGCTGTCAATGTTTTCCTGTGACAGGTTGTAGCACACACAGTGCTTCTGAGTGCGCTTGAAGAAGCACCTGCCTTCTGCCTCCAGCAGCCCCAGCCCCAGGAGGAGAACAGCCACATTCATGTTGAACGACCTAGAAACGAGGAAAGCAGTGGTGAGAGGCAGCTGAGAGGACCATTGGGATCCAGCCAACATGGGAAGGTTCAGCCCTGGAGAGCCACCCCTGAGGGACACAGTGCTGCCCTCATCCCTCCTGCCCAACTGAGTGTCCTTCACATGGATCCAGCACACACATCAGCTACTCAGGGCTCAATCACCAGCAAAACTGGGAAGGGAGTTGGTGGCACTGGTCTCCCCCATCCCAAAAGCAGGGTATCAGCTCTGTGCTTTCCTGCCTTGGCTGCAGAGTCCTGTTCCTGAGAGACCAGGAAATCCCACGGATCAGGAGAAACTAGAAATGGAGAGTTACAGACAGGGAAGGCAGATATGTCGGTCTGACCGCCTGACAGCTCTGTTTGCTTCTCTGAGTGCTGTGCTCTGTAATCTGAAGCAGGAAATTGCAACATAGGCTTCATATTTTCCTTTATGCACCCCAAGTGACTTGATTCACTACCAGCTTCCAAGGGGACAGCATAAAATCACGCATTCCTGTCAGCACCAGGCATGGCTTTGCTGTGCAGCCGACAAGAGAGTCTTAACAGATTGCAGAGAAGCAGCAAGCAAAGATTAAAGGCTGCTAAGAACATGCTGACTCAGCTCCATCCAAGTACCCAGGCGGGGTGGCGGTGACGAGGTTTCAGGGGTCTCCAACCTCCTGCTTTGAGCAGGTCTGCACCAGCACTTGCCTCGATCACCTTCTTGGCCACATCCTAAATCCCTCCCAAGGCAAGGACAGATGGACCCCTACCTCCCTATGCCGTCCTGGGGCTGCGCCACGTTCCCAGGGAGAAACTCTGCACCCGCTCTGTGCAAAGCCCCCCTCAAGCAGGGGTACATCCTGCAGCCTGTGCAGTGACTCACCTGCGCACACTGGAACACTTCCCTGCCCCACGGCTGCTTCCTCCTGCTGCTGCCAAACCCAGAACTTATGTGCCAAAGGCTTCGCAATGCTCAGCTCCCTCCTGTGCCTGGTCCCGCAGCCGGATGAGACCTCACTGCCTGCAGGTGTCTTGCAGATGCCGTTGCCCTCCCTCAGCCCCTCCAGCTGTGTTCAGACCTGCACAGTGGGGTGCTGGGCACCCAGAGCCAAGCTCCTGGGTGCTGCCCTTGCTCCTGATACTGAGCTTCCTGAGCAGGATGGGCTGTGCCCAGGGGAGCCACGTGCTGTGCAGCAACCACCCAAGTTACTTCTTCGTTTCCCTGCAGCAAGGCTTGTGGCTGCCCATGGCTGCAGGCTGGGGTTTGGTCTGGATGCCAGTGCTGCTCACTTCACTAGGAAGGATGAAGGAAGACAGCACAGTCAAGGTTCCCTATATGCACTCCCAGCACCAGCCTGCACACACCTTTGCTTCCAGATGCTCTGGGATTGCTGTGCCCTGGAGCCCAGGGCTGAGCACCCTGCAGGAGGCAATGCAGAATCATGGAATGGTTTGGGTTGGAAGGGACCTTAAAGCTCATCCAGTCCCAACCCCTGCCATGGGCAGGGACACCTTCCACTAGAGCAGGTTGCTCCAAGCCCCTGTGTCCAACGTGGCCTTGAACACTGCCAGGGATGGGGCAGCCACAGCTTCTCTGGGCACCCTGTGCCAGCGCCTCAGCACCCTCACAAGGAAGAGCTTCTGCCTCAGAGCTCATCTCAGTCTCCCCTCTGGCAGATTAAAGCCATTCCCCTTGGCCTGTGTCTACCTACATCCCTTGTCCAAAGCCCCTATCCAGGTTTCCTGGAGCCCCTTTAGGCACTGGAGCTGCTCTAAGGTCTCCCCTTCAGGAGCCTTCTCTTCTCCAGCTGACCCATCCCAGCTCTCTCAGCCTGGCTCCAGAGCAGAGCTGCTCCAGCCCTCGCAGCAGCTCCGTGGCCTCCTCTGGCCTCGCTCCAGCAGCTCCATGTCCCTCTTGTGTTGTTCCCCAGAGCTGGATCAGGGCTGCAGGGGGGGTCTCCCCAGAGCACAGCAGAGGGGAAGGATCCCCTCCCTCACCTGCTGCTCACACTCTGGGGGTGCAGCCCAACACATGGGGGGTTCTGGGCTCAAGCACACACTGAAGCTGGGTCATGGGGAGCTTCTCATTGACCAGCACCCCCAGAAGGGTACAGGACTGTCATACCCATTATCCAGACATGCCCAGGTGCCTGTGTCTCATGTAGGATCAGGATGGGACAACTTCCCACCCACTGTGTGCATAGCCCAATGCTGCAAGGGGCACTTCTTCACCCAAGGTCACTTCCTTGGCTTGGTCACATCACTTCCCTGTGCTCCTTTGGCAGCTAGTGGCTGTGCCTACACCAAGGTGTAAACATGCTCCACCAGTGAATGGAGACCACCAAGCATTTGGAAAGGTCTGTCAGAGGTTTCTTCTTTCCTCTGTCCATGTTGGGTTTCAGGAAGGGTTTCCGAAAGGCAGTGAAACTGCATGGCTAGGAGATGCATTCCCAGGCAGTCCAGAGAGATGTTGTCAGTGTGCCAGTTGCTGGAGCCAGAGCTGCCTGTCCCACACTGCTGCTGGGATGGGTGAAGGGAAGGAAGGTCTGAGTGCGCTGTGGAAAAGTCGTAGCAGCTTCAGTTCTCCTTTTGGTGAGGGTGGCATCTCTGGGCCTGGTACCTCTGAATTGCTCATTCCTGGCCACCAGCTGCCAAAAATTCCCCCAGATGCCTTTTTGGATAGAAATGAGCTCTCCTCCCCCCTTGGTGGTTAGACAGACAGACAGACGTGGGTTTAGAGTGATCTTTTGAGTGATGATTTCCTTGTTCTTATCACCACTGTGGGAGATCCCAGGACACTAAGACCCATTATCTTACATTTCTGGTTAAGTGTCTGTGCTTCTTTTGGGTTCGAGAAACACACAACCCAGGCCTGTGGAGGAGAAACCTTGCCTGAGCATGGGGGCTGGATGGTTTTAAGAGGTTCCCAGACAGGTTTGGGTTGGAAGGC